TGTTCAATGCAATACACCCTTTAACCTTTTGCAGCTGTTTACCTGGTTGTTGATTGCGGATCTATGTAAAATGAAATACTTGACAGCTTCATTCTTTGTTTATTGTGATGCTGTCTATTGATCCAGTTGCGAGGGTTTTTTTCCCCTTTACAATGTTAGTTGTAAGCCACCCTATAGGCTGTAGTCTTTGATCCCCATCAGTAAGCGCTTCAAGTCCCCTGCACTTTCAGCTAGCAAGGTTGTGTCATTTTCATATCATAGGTTGTTAAAGAACCTTACTCTCACCTTAATGCTGCATTCTTCTATAAAAATGGAAAAAGCATACAACACTTATGCACACTTTTCCTGATTTACCACACAATATACCCTTGTTCTATTCCAACAACTACCTCTTGATACGAGTTCTGCATGCGTAACAATGAAGTGTTGTGCAATTCCCATTCTTCTCAATGTTAAATATAATTTGTTATGACTGTTCAGTCTAATGTATTTTCATAGTTAATAAAACACAAGTAAACATCTGTGTTATTCTGGGTGGACTAGAGAAACAAATCCATAAAAACTCTTATGTGTATGAGAGTTTTATATAAAGGGTAATTGTACATTAAGAAAACATTCCAACCCAGTCCAGATTAAATCCATAAGTCTGATATTAGCCCATATGTCTGATACCAATATATAAAGTCCTCTTCAAACTCACAAAACATGCAATGAAGCCAGAGTGCAGGAAGATCGCAGGCCAGTGGGTAGAAAGTCTTCAGATCCAGTGGTGTTGTAAGCATCTCAGTGCTGGCAGGAGTCTTCACGTAGCTTCTCCAGTTTCCAGGGCTGCATCAGGGTAGTTTAGTTCCATGAGGCTTCTCCGCGGGGATGTCTCACAGGGAATCAGCAGAGCGAAAGAAGCGTCCCCCGCCTCCAAGCAGGAAAATCGGGATTTCCCAGCATTCTCAGGAGAAGGCCATGTCCACACAGAGATCTCATTGGCTCTCTCCCGATTGACAGGCTAGACTCCACGCCTAC